CCTCACAGATGGCGCACGGCACCGCACGAAAAAGATCTAAGCCCCACTCCGAACCTCCGTGCGCCCCAGCGGGGGTGGTCCAGGCGACTTCGCCCCTTGCTGCACGCAGCACCTCGGTTGCCAATAGTTACCGCCCGCCCTCACCACATTCCACGTGAGCGAAACTCTGAAAGAATTGCTGTGAGTGCAGTGGCCAGCACTGGCTAGTCAATATTGAGCGAGGTTTTCCTCAGCGCCTCCTTTCATAAACGGCCTAGAACATGACAGTCGCTGAGCAGGTAGACAAATTCCACGAACGTTTGTCAACACCAATTTCAATGCTACCCTTCTGTCCCGGGTGGTAGATTTCCACCAGGCCCTGTTTGTCCCCGTGCGTGCTGCATACCCACACCATCGCCACGAGACGTCCTCAGTCTGAGGTCAAATTGGCCGGACGCGACAGCAGGCAGCCTCGTGATAGTGAAGAGAAGGGAATTGTAAATCTTCCATTTCGGGCGTCAGACGAGAAGCGAAAGATTTTAAGGGCTCCACATCAACTGATTCTCCACCTTCACGACATCGACTTATCCTCCCGGTAAATTGACTCCAGCAGCGCGGACCAGAAGCTGCCTTTCTCTTCCCACTGAATACTGCACCGTTCCGATCCCTTCCGAGTCATCGTGACTTTCGACGACATGTTGACACCAAGGACTAAGACAAGGACGAGAAAATGATTCAGAGGCCGCAGCGGTAAGTCCCTCCGAAGTTTAATTAGGGTGCAGGGAAACTATTTCTCTGGTGGCATGAAAAATCTATCAGGAGACCCAGCCCGAGGGCAGGCACAGAAATTAAGCCAAGTTCAGCGTCGCACTGTTCCGAAATGAGCTCGTTTAAAGCCGCTTTCTCGGTTCGAAAGATTCGCGCAGCGTTGATCGGCTGGGAGCGATGACTTCGGAAGCAGGCAAAGGAGAATCGTGGCCTATTTTAAGGCACAGAATCTGACTGAGGGGACTGAGAAAGAGAACGGAGACCATCAACCAGCCTGTAATCGATCTCATACAAAACAGGAGTGCCAGTAGGGACATTCGACGTTTCACGACAAGTCACTCGGTCTACAAACCGGATAACTCTGTTGGCCTTGATACAAGTCTATTCTCGCCCCGCACACAGTCAGCTGTTTGTTTTCCTACGTCACCGGCAAAGCTGTCACGGTGACGTCCGTGATTCGATCCCGGGCCCCGGTCTTGTCTCGTGACAGTCGTCAACAGGCGCGGCTCGTCACCGCGACGCCTGTCAACCTGTCAACTTCTCGTCGCCGTGAGTCGTGGCAGATGGTTCCGCTCGCGGCGCGACTCAAAGACGGAAGGAAGACTGACGCGGAAGATGTGGTCTGTCGGAACGAATTTTGGTTATTTTCCCAGACGAAGCGGACAAGTGACCTCCTTCCGTTTGTAAAAATGCTGTCCTACTTCCGGACCACAACGAACTCTGGAGACGCATTTAAAAAGGACGAATGCTTCCCGCGAGCTCTCCTTCAGCAACAAATTCACCCGAACCCAGGCCTTCAGACCCCGTTCCCTTGAGACTGACCTAACCTAACGTGCTTCTTCTCTGTGGTGTTCCATGCGCAGGCAAGACGAGCGAAGGGTCGGACTGCGAGTCGGAGCCGGGGATTCCCCTGAAGCGAAAACAGCGTCGGAGCCGTACGACGTTCACGGCTCAGCAGCTGGACGAGCTGGAGAAGGCGTTCGAGCGCACGCAGTATCCGGACATCTACACGAGGGAGGAGCTGGCGCAGCGGACGAAGCTCACGGAGGCCAGGATACAAGTGTGGTTCAGCAACCGACGCGCGCGTCTCCGCAAGCAGCTGTCCAGCAGCTCC